TCTTCTTAGGAGTTAAATAAACAGAGTGACAATATACAGATTTGTCTTACTTCTTTCTCAATTTGGAAGCAGTCAGTTGTCCACGTAAGATTCTAGCTGTTGCTTCTTGACCTACATACAATTTGCTTAGATGACAGGTAAAATGGTCTGCTATTCTTTAAGAATTTTCTATAGTTTTTTGTGATCCACACAGTCAAAGTCTTTTGTGTAGTCAATGAAGCAGAAATAGACATCTTTTTCTGGAATTTCCTTGCTTTCTCTATGATCTAATGAATGTTGGCAATTTGATCCCTGGTTTCTCTGCCTTTTCTAAACCCAGTTTGTACATCAGAAGTTCTCAGTTCATGTACTTCTGAAGTCTAGCTTGAAGGATTTTGAACATAACCTTACTAACATGAGAAATGTAGAAAGGCACTGTATGGTAGTTTAACATTCTGTCTCATTGCCCTTCTTTGGGACTGGAATGAAAACTGGTCTTTTTCAGTCCTGTGGCCACTGCTGACTTTTCCAAATTTGCTGACATATTGAGTGCAGCCCTTTAACAGCATCATCTTTTAGAATTTGAAATAGCTCAGCTGGAATTCCATCATCTCCACTAGCTTTGTTCATAGTAATTCTTTCTAAGGCTCTATTCAACATCATAAAGTCTTTGTCCCAACCACTGATGGATGAAGAAGCTGAAGATGATTGGTTCTATGAAGAACTCTAAGACATTCTAGAACTAACACCATAAAATGATGTCCTTTTCATCATAGGACTTGGAATGAAAAAGTAGTAAGTCGAGAGGTATCTGGAGTAACAGGTAAGTTTGACTTTAGAGTACAAAATGAAGCAAGGCAAAGGCTAACAGAGTTGTGTCATGAGAACATGCTGGTCATAGCAAACACCCTTTTCCAACACAAGAGACAGTCTACACATGAACATCACCACATAGTCAATACTGAAATCAGATTGATTATATTCTTTGAAGATGAAGATGGAGGAGCTGTGTACAGTCAGCAAAAACTAGACCTGGAGCTGACTGTCACTCAGATTATGAGCTTCTTATTGCAAAATTCCAGCTTAAATTGAAGAAATTATGGAAAACCAATAGACCATTCAGGTATGACCTAAGTCAAATCCCTAATGATTACACAGTGGAGGTGATGGATAGATTCAAAAGATTAGATCTGGTAGACAGAGTGCCTGAAGAACTATGAATGGAGGTATGTAACATTGCACAGGAGGCAGTGACCAAAACCATCCCAAAGAAAAAGAAATTCAAGAAGACAAAATGGTTGTCTGAGCAGACTTTACAAATATTAATACCTGAAGAAAGAACAGAAGCAAAAGGCAAGGGAGAAAGGAAAAACTATACCCAACTGAATGCAGAGTTCCAGAGAATAGCAAGGAGAGATAAGAAGGCCTTGTTAAATGAACAATGCAAAGAAACAGAGGAAAACAATAGAATGGGAGAGATCTCTTGAAGAGATCTCTTCAAGAAAATTGTAGATTTCAAGGGAACATTTCATGCAAGGATGGGCATGATTAAGACAGAAATGGCAAGGATCTAACAGAAGCAGAAGAGATTAAGAAGAGGTGAAAAGAATACACAAATAAACTACACAAGACCTTCATGACCCAGATAACCATGATGGTGTGGTCACTTAGATCCAGACATCCCGGAGGGTGAATGTATGTTTAATTCCCCCAAACTTGTTGACCACTAATGTGTCTCAGCTGAGTAACTTTCACCTAATAACTTGAATCTTGACTAATATTTCCCTTCTACCCTTCCTCCAATTCATCAGTAAAGAGTACAGTCATTCCTTACCACTTCCATAGCCACAGCCCTTGTCCAGTCTGCAATCATCTTTCCCTAGTATTAACTGAAACGGCTTGCTAACTGGTTTGCCTGTCTGTTTCCCTGCATTCTATTCTTCCTACAGTACTTGGGGTGACATTTCCCAGGCTTCAGAGACACCAGCTGATCCCCAGACCTAAATCAGAACTCTTTCTGAAGGTCATCAAGGCCCTGCCTGAGAACCACTGGCTACTTCTCTGACCTCAATGTCTACCTTTCCTCCACCTCTCACGCTACTCAATATATAGTCTTTCTTCTGTGAATACACACAGGCAAGTTCTGCTTCAGGGCTTTTGTACTTGTTTTCTCTGCCTGGAATTGTATTCAGAGAATACCCTCCCACAGACAGATCTCTGTTCAAACATCATCTCTTAAAAGATGTCTTTCCTGACCATTCTATCTAAAACAGCACTCTTTCCTTCTTCTACCAACGCTCTCTAGCCTCCAACCAAATTTATCCTTATTCATTTGTAATTGAGTATTGTTATCCAATGAATATACCTATTATTTATTAACTGACTATCTCCCCTGGTAATATAAACAGAGATTTTCTTTGGCTTGTTCCCTGTTATATCCCCCCAGGACCTGGGATAAGTCTCCTGCATTCTGTGGGTATATAATGCTTGCTGAATAAATTTTAAAAATGAATGAAAGGATGAATGAATGCTCTTTTTATAGATGAATAAACTGTAGCATAGAGAAATAAATACATTTTCTAAACTCCTACAGCTATTAGATGTCAAGAGCTGGTTTTTAAGCCTAAGTAATATCACTAAGAACATGCATGTTTATATGCTTTGTGACTCATAGTGGAAACTGATTCACAAAAGAAGGTACTAGAGAAAGACAAACAAATTCTCTCTCCTTCCTTTGTTTACATATTTCAGTTAAAATTTTAGACCATGTGTTATTTCATAAGAAGAGAATAATTCAATACAGCAAACATAAAAGCAGGTTGAAAACAGAATCAGTTATTGTGGTGTGCTAGAAAAATGATGACTTGGAGTGAAAAATACAGCTTTCATATTAACCTCCACCACATAGTCATAAAGATGGCCTTCTTTCTTCCTATATGTAAAATGGCTAAAGATAATTCCTACCTCAGCTATTTTGAGCATCAAATGAGATCATACATGTGAGCTATTTTGTAAAATATAGCAACATTGGTTTTCTTTATAATAGGGCATGATCTTGCCTAAGTGCATGCAATGATTGTGGGTTAGAGCATATTGTTATAGCCACGTGTTCTGGGAAACAAACTCACTCAGAAGGACAATGCAGAAAGTGGAGTGCAGTTTATTACGTCGGCGGGCCCAAGGCAGAGTCTCCTCTTAGCCAAGGACCTCGACCAGTTTTTGTGAAAACCTTATACACCCTAAGTGTATGTGCCCAAACCCACATCCCCAAATTCCCTGAAACTATTCTGAACAAAGGAAAAGAAAGATATATTCAAAGTTAACCTGTGATTCATATGCCTTAAGCCTAGGTAGTTAACAGTGGACAATTATCAATTGTGGTCATACCCCAATAAGCATAATAGAATTTATGATTCTATTCGGTTACACAGATAATTAGGGTATTCTTTTAGGTGACAGAGGGTCTAGGTACGAGCCCTGGGCTCTTCCATCCAGGGGTCTGGCTTTCTAGTTGGTATGTCATTTCCACAGATACTGGGCATATAGTTCAGGGTTCACTGTCCAGCGCAAGATGGAGTCTTGCTTTCAAGATAGAGTCTGTTCTGTCTGTTTCCTCCTTCAATATAATTTCCTTTTAACATGCTATATATTCGGTTGTGGCATAGGTGTGTTACATGGTTAAACACCATTTGCCCAGATGCTTTTGGCTCTTGCAGACTCACCCAGTCTCCTGAGGAACCATGGACATACTGGGAAAAATTCGGCTCAATCCGTGCTAACTGGCTGATGTAATTGACCTTCTGTCTTACAATGCGTAATTGCAGCCTTTGTGTAGAGAGTTGCTAACAGAGAGATCTGCAAAGAATTTCAGAGACAAGCTAACTCTTTGCACTTTTCTCCCCTATTAAATCCATTGTATATTGTTGTGGCTGAATAGTTTAAACAAGCTGAGAATGCGCCTCTTATGTGTATAAGAAGCAAGTAAAGTAAAGCGGTGTCCCTCGAGTTGTTCAATGTTTATTCAAATCAGAGGCCTGAAAGGACTCGTTTCATGAGAAGTAAAGGGAAGAGTTTAAAAGCTTAGCCTTGGCAATTACAGGGCGCATGTTTTCTGTCTCTTCTCGTAGAAACACATGCATCTTATCCTCAATGGCTGCCAGCCTTCTTGTCAGACCAATTACTTTAAAACAATTGTTTCATTTGGAATAGACGCCACAGTCCTAGTGATGTCCCTTGTCAGTGACACATTCAATTAAAACAGCTCTGAATAGGAGTTCTGGGGGCCTACTGTGCCTTGTCCAATCTTATCAGTCAACAAAGAACAACCTTGGAGAATTCAGTGCCGACTGGTTCCACCGTCAGGTGGTTTGAACATGTTGCACCTTCCCAGGGTTCCTCAGAGTCTTTCATCCCTGTGCCTTTTACAGCCAATGACAGGCGCCATCTCAGCAGTGTCTGGGTCCACAATGCCAAGAAAGCTTATGGCAGTAAATACGATGGCAGCTGTGACAATCCTGACAGCTGGCTGGAGCTCAGGGTGGCAGGCTGAGCCGGACTGTGAGCAGTTGGAGCAGCAGTGAGGTATGACCGCCATTACTGGCTGGCAGATGTCAGTTTCCACACTACCAGTTACTACAGGATGGGATGGACACACTCGTGTTGCTATACAGGCAAGCAGAACTTTAAACAAACTCCGGGCACCTAGCATGCTGTTTACCTTCCTTTGCATTCAGGAAAATGCAAACGTTCTCATCAAAATGAAAATTCCTTGCCTTTCAAGTACATGCACAATGGAAGAAGAATTTTATGAAGTAGCAATATCAGAGAATTGACTCCTTCATATGAGAGCTGGGATCAGTGAAAGTAAAACTGATTTCAAAGAGAGGTTTGGTGTGTTGGCTGCCATTTTCGGAAAAGCACTGTGAATTCACATGTATCATAGGACTCCTTTGTGTAAATGTTGTACGTGTTCCCCATACATTTTGGATGTTCTCTCATAGTTCTTTCCTAGGCAAACTGACCATACCTCCACATCTGAATTATCTTTCTCATTTTGGAAGAACTGATTATACAACTTCCTATTATTAGAGGAGATGGGTAATGTAAAATACATATTATCAAAACAGTTAAATGGAAAGAAGTTGTTATACTAACTAATGTGTACCATTTTGAGTTCATAGATAAGGCAAAATAGATTTCTGTGGCCGTGTCAAATCTGTGCAGAATATAGATTTGCTACTTCATCATCAGGTCAACCAAGGTGGGCAAGCAGACTCCAGGTCTGAAAATTTGTCATGGAAGGGAAGTTGCAAGCTGTCAGACTAGATCTGACAGCAGGTGGTTTCAGAGTTGAACCTAGTCTCAGAGAAAAGTCAGCAAAGTGACTCAGGTATAAACTGGTGCCACTGTTCTCACATCCCAACCTGGTAAGAGTGAGGGTGCTTTACCCAAAACCAATTCCCCTAATACCCAGTCTCCCCAATACCCATTAGCCTAATGATTATACTCCTAACAAAGATCTGTCATAGATGTAGCATTTCTTATATAATTAGATGCCACTCTAAGCATTTTAAGAATACAGTGGACTTTTAAATTCTACTTTATAATACTTTAAACATTTACTCTTAATTGGGTGAAATGCCTTGAAAATCCTCAAAGGTTGGCAAAATAGTCACTATGAAAGTTTACAAAAATACCTCTAAGCTAGTACTATTTTAGTATAGATGAGAAGTTGCATATTTGATAAATGAACATTTTAGATGAATGTGCCATTAGGTAAATTGATCATTATGCCAATTGATTTTAAGAAAATCAGTTTTAGGGAATTTGACATTCTCCCCTTTCTCACTTTGAAATTCTAGGATTTTTTTTTTTTTTTTTTTTATGTGCACAACAAAGTCACTGCCCAAGACAAGGTTTGCTTGGCACTATCCCCAAGTAAGATCAAAGTCTCTGATATAAAGTTATGATAAAAATAGCACAAAACAAATGAGAATTTGCTACAAGCCTGGTATAAGCCAATGTACTTTGCATCCATTTATTCAATAACCACAGCTGTATGCCAGGCACGGTTCTGAATTATCTCATGTCATCCTCACAGTGATGCTGTAGATTATTCCCAAATGGGGATAGGGTTGGGAGCTGAAGGAAAGAGACACTAAGTAATTGCTTAATAAAGTGGTGGAGGTGGGTTTTGAACCCAGGCAGTCTGGATCAGTGCTTTACAGCCTCAGCAGATAAGCTCTGCTGAGAAGACATTAATGTGAAGGTCCAGTGATTTTTCAAACTGAGCAAGTAGTGGGGATATAGATGATATCCTCTGTATGGTTTAAAAAAAAAAAACAATTGTTAGGGCTATGCCTTCTCTGCAATAGCATTCCTGGAAGATCAAAAATCACTGCTTGAGAGTGATTCTTTTCTCTGAGTGCACCTAATAATCTTCAGACCCTAAACAAATGAAAGAGCACTCATCAAAAGCAGCACGTAATGAGAAAGAAACTCCGGATGAATCCTATTAAAAGAGCAACCCTATGACGTGCCAATAGCGTTCATGCTCCTTCTCCATGCTGTCTGGTTGTTTATGGAGACCCAAAGTGTTTCTACATCTTCCAATCTTAACACTCATTCGATGAATGGAAGCTGAATGTTTGAAGGATGTCACTCCAAGAAGGACTTTTCTGCTGCCATTCTGATCAAAGTGCCATAAGTAAGAGCTGGTGATGGGAATCATGTATGCATTTTTATGCCATTGATTAGGTGAGTGACCAGAACCCATCAGAAATGTACTATGCTAAGGCAATATCCAATATTTGATGCTAAACACCTTCTGGACAATGGAAAACTGTTCAATTCTAAAATTACTATTGGCAATATACTTTTGGTGTTCTTAGTTAAATAAAACTTTCATTATGAGACAATTATAATGAAATCTTTTTTTTTTTTTTTTTTTAGAGTTTGACAAATTTATTGGTATTTTAGTAAAGACATTCACCTTAGTTGTTTCTCTCTCCCATCTTGACCATAGGTTGATATTTGAGTCAAGAAAATGAAATGTAGGAGAGGGGTGTTATTTCAACATAAAAATCAAAATGAACAAAAATGGAAAGTTTGCCTACATTTAAACAAGTTAAATTCATGTATCTTGATATAATTAAATCATGTAAGTAAGAACTAATAGTTCTATATACATTTCCATTGGTTTACTTGGGGCTTCTAAACTCAAATGCAAGTGAGTTATACATACAGTATAATGATTTTCCTTGAAAACTACAATGTTAGATTTTGGAGGCAGCTTCAGACTGATTGGTGGTAACTACTTGCTCTCAGCTCTTTTAATAAGTAATAACTCCAGAGAAGCAGCCTGTATATATTCCTAATACTTTGTTCACTTGCATTTGAGTTTATAATGAAATCTAATACATAGTTCTTATGTAGATTTGTTAGTAAACAACTATATAGGTGTGTGTGTGTTGTGTATCTCTGCATGCGTGCTCAGTCATGTCTGACTCTTTGCAAGCCCGTGGACTATAGCCCACCAGGTGCCTCTATCCATGGAATACTAGAGTTAAGTTGTCATTTCCTGCTCCAGGGGATTTTCCTGACCCAAGGATCAAAATGACGTCTCTTGAGTCTCCTGCATTGGTAGGTGGGTTCTTTACCACTGTGTCACCTAGGAAGTCCATAACAAGTGTGTACATGTATATGTGTGTGTGTGGCTAATTGGAAATTTAAGAAACAACAACAAAATGAAAAAAGAAAGAAGAAAACTTCAGATAGGAACTATCTTAAAACTTAAAATTAGTATTGCTTGATGATTTAAGCTTTAATTTGCAAGGTGAAGATAAGGACAAGAAAGAAATGTCAGTATGGCTATAGAAATACTTGCAAAAGGTAAAATGTTCCTGCAATGCAACTGACCCACTGGGGACACTTTTTACAGAAGCAAAATGTCTTCCTGAGCCCAGCTGGAGATCAGTTTATGCCCTGAAGCATGATTATAATGTTAACCTTGAAAGGTCCTAATGAAATGAGTTTGGTGGTCTCAGCCTATATATTTTTATATGCACTGGTGCATGCCTTGGAACATAACTTGATGGACTGTCTGCAGAATGGCACAGCATGTATTTGAGATTACAGTGTGACCCACAGTCTCCACAACATAACTCCTATTTTTTTTCCCACATTATGCATCTCTCAAAATTCAGCCCAGGAGGGAGAAATGACTACTTAATGACAGTCTGTACATTATTGATGGGGCAGTAGGGTGGTAAAGAGATAACCCTAGGTGTCTTGTTTGCCAGTTGATTAACCAGAGTGAGTGCATTCCCTAGGGAAAACATGCTTTGCAGTAAACCAGTTATCCATTCAGTCTCTCACTAATGACAATAGTGCAAAAATTTGACACCCTCCTCTTTCCTCAAAAGCTTGGTGGAGTATGACTCTTTAAATCAGACTGCAAATTAAGACATAAAATGAAAATTGAGATGCATGCACACCACTTGGGTCAATGAAGTACTATTAAGAGCTTAAGTTGAGGTAAATGATTGAGTTATATTATTTGTATTTCATTGTAAAGATGACTGGCCTCCTGGGTAACCTTTCTATGTTTTAAGGCAAGAAATCTTTACGTCTGGAAGGGATATGAGATTGCTATATGTATTACATTTGATTCAAATAAAATATTTAGAAGTAAGCACATTATAGGTTAAAGCTTTAGTATTTTAAGGAATGTCTGGTGAAGTGCTAATGTGATGGTGCCACTCTTTCTTAAAACAGGGGTGAGCTGTCCAATCTTCTTATTCATTTTGGAACCAGTTTGGTAAAGTCAGAAGTTTATTTTCAGTATCCTGGGAAAAAATGCATTTAACTTCTCTTGAATCCATTGCTTCATGACATACACCAGCTCAGGATGCCCTCTTGCTATATATTGGATAAAATTTAGTAGCAAAACTTCCACAACTGAAAACTTTGTGTGTCTCACTCCTTTGAACATGAGTGTCAGGCTGATAAATAGCTTGCATTCTTTATATTTAACTTCTTTAAATGGAATTCAAATTTTTTGCTCTGAGGCCATTAGGAATTTATGAACCATTTTTCTTTTCTGTAGTCTTCAGAGAGGAATTTACTTGTACAAAGACGACTCCAAGGCATTTGTCATTTCATACAGTGAGACCATTAGCGGTTATTGAGTATGGACCTAAGATTTTAGGAGTTCTGAGGAACTGTGGAACCAGGACACATGTAGTTAAAGAATACAGACTAAGCACAAACATTTTATTCTCCCTCATTGAGCATCTTTTCTTCTGTGTCTTACAGAAAACTCAAATTATAAAATTATTCAGATGTTAGCAATTTCTTTGAAAATTTCCATTAGTTATCATGTTTTAGTAGTGCTATCTCCACACACCACTACTGTTTTCTTATTACTCTTAACATTCTTAAGGAACGTTAGGTTCAAAATCCCCTGTGACTCCAGCATTCCTCCTCCTGGCTAATGCAAGAAACTCAGATAAAGACTAAAATAAAAGAAGGGGATGAATTATTTAGCCAGCAGAAGACTAAGTGGGTTTGAGGATCATTAAGGAAATTTAATAATAGTTTTCATGTATAGAACAGATATTATTCAGAGATTGATGGCTAGCTATTATCTGCATTTTCTGAGATTGTAAGAAGTAAAATAGGAGAGACTAAGGCAACAATGAAGAAACATTTCCTGATGTTGAAATTTGTTGGTTATGAATATGTTCAGTTATTCATTCAATATTTATTAAATTTCTATTATATGAGGTCACACTTGCCTGAGATGGAATTACTTACTTAGGTCTTTTTAGAATATATTTATATTATACTTGAAATGACTTATCTGGTCTTGTTTAGAGACAGAGAAGCAAATCATTGGTTTTATGATTTTTGTAATTCCTTCAAAGACTCCTAATAGGAAGAATAAGATGCTGATACAAATGTTCACACTAACATAACAGATTTTTCCAACATCCATCTTAAGAAACATAGAAAAGAGTAATTAAGTATAAGCACCCATCAATGTAATCACCGAAATGCCAATACCTTTAAATCCCCTTTTTAATCAGGGTCCAATTATGGCTGATTAATCTCTTTGCCCTCTTCATGGATTGAGCCTTGTGGTAAAGGGGATTGCATAAATCAGTGAAGCAATGAGCCATGTCATGCAGGGCCACCCAGGATGGATGGATTATAGTGAAAAGTTCTGACAAAATGTGGTCCACTGGAGGAGGAAATGACGAAACACTCCAGTGTTCTTATTGTGATAACCCTATGAACAATATGAAAACACAAAAGATGTGAAAACACAAAAGATAAGACACCAGAAGATGAGCCCTCAGGGTCAGAAGGTATCCAATAGGCTGCTGGGGAAAAGCAGAGGGCAATTACTAACAGCCCCAGAAAGAATGAAGTGGATGAACTAAAGTGGAAAAGATGCTCAGTTGTAGATGTGTCTGGGGGTGAAAGGAAATTCCCATGCTGTAAGAACAACAGTGTTAAGATAATATGCTGGCCATAGTAAACACCCTTTTCTAACAGCCCAAGAGATGACTCTACACATGGACATTAACAAATGGTCAATAGCCAAATCAGATTGATTATGTTCTTTGCAGCTGAAGATGGAGAAACTCTATATAATCAACAAAAACCAGACCCGGAGCTGACTGTGGCTCAGATCATTAGCTCCTTATTCCAAAATTCAGGCTTAAATTGAAGAACATAGGGAAAACCACTAGGTATTCAACTATGGCCTAAGTCAAATCCTTTATTTTACAGTGGAGGTGATGAATAGATTCAAGGAGTTAGATCTGGTAGACAGAGTGCCTGAGAACTATGGACAGAGGTTCATGACACTGTAGAGGAGGCAATGACCAAAACCATCCCAAAGAAAAGAAATGCAAGAAAGCAAAGTGGTTGTCTGAGGAGGCTTTATGAATAGCTGAGGAAAAAAGAGAAATTAAAGGCAAAGGAAAAATATACCCAACTGAATTCAAAGTTCCAGAGAATAGCAAGAAGGGATAAGAAAGCCTTCTTAAATGAATAATGCAAAGTAACAGAGGAAAACAATAGAATGGGAAAGACTAGAGATATCTTCAAGAAACTGTAGATAGGAAGGGAACATTTCATGCAAGGATGGGGATGCTAAAGAACAGAGATGGTAAGGACCTAAAAGAAGCAGAAGAGATTAAGGAGAGGTAGCAAGAATACACAGAAGAACTATACAAGAAAGGTCTTAATGCCTGGATAACCATGATGGTGTGGTCACTTAAATAGAGCCAGATATCCTGGAGTGTGAAGTTAAATGGGCCTTAGGAAGCATTACTACAAACAAGGCTAGTGCAAGTGATGGAATTTCAGCCGAACTATTTAAAATCCTTAGAGATGATTCTGTTAAAGTGTTGCACTCAATATGTCAGCAAATTTGGAAAACTCAGTAGTGGCCACAAGACTGGAAAAGGTCAATTTGCATTCCAATCCCAGAAAAGGGCAATACCAGAGAATGTTCAAACTACTGTACAATTGCACTCATTTCACATACTATCAAGATTATGCTCAAAATCCTTCAAGCTAGACTTTAGCAGTATGTGAATCAAGAACTTCCTGATGTACAAGGTGTGTTTAGAAAAGGAGAGGAACCAGAGATAAAGTTGCCAACACCCTTTGGATCATAGAGAAAGCAAGGGAATTCCAGAAAAACATCTACTTCTGCCTCACTAGCTACACTAAATCCTTTGATTGTGTGTATCATAATGAATTGTGGAAAATTCTTAAGGAGATCTATCAGACCACTTTGCCTGTTTCCTGAGAAACCTATATGCAGGTCAGGAATCAATTAGAACTGGACATGGAACAATGGACTGATTCAAAATTGGGATAGAAGTATGACAAGGCTGCATATTGTCACCCTGTTTATTTAACTTCTAAGCAGAGTACATCATGAAAAATACTGGGTTGGATAAATCACAAGCTAGAATCAAGGTTTCTGAGAGAAATATCAACAATCTCAGATATGCAGATGATACTGCTCTAATCACAGAAAGGGAAGAGGAACTAAAAACCATTTCGATGAGGGTAAAAGAGGACAGAAAAAGCTGACTTAAAACTCCACATTCAAACAACTAAAATCATGGTGTCTGGTCTCATTAATTAATATCATCTGGTCTCATTACTTAATGGCAAATAGAAGGGGGAAAAGTGGAAGCAATGACAGATTTTGTTTTCTTGGGTTCCAAAATCACTGTGGATGATGACTGCAATCATAAAATTAAAAGATACTTGCTGCTTGGAAGAAAAGCTATTACAAGACTTGACAGTATATTAAAAATCAGAGATGTTACTTTGCTGTCAATGGTCTGTATAGTCAAAGCTTTGGTTTTTCCAGTAGTCATGTACAGCTGTGAGAGTTCAACCATAAAGAAGGCTGAGTGCCAAAGAATTGATGCTTTTGAATTGTGGTGCTGGAGAAGACTCGTGAAGAGTACCTTGGGCTGCAAGGAGATCAAACCACTCAATCCTAACTAAATCAACCCTGAATATTCATTCAAAAGACTGATGCTGAAGTTGAAGCTCTAATACTTTGGCCACCTGATGCAAAGAGCCAACTTATTGGAAAAGACCCTAATGCTGGAAAAGATTGAAGGCAAAAGGAAGAGGGGATGGCAGAGGATGAGATGTTTATCAAAATAGCATCACAAACTCAAATTGACATGAATTTAAGAAAATTCCTGGAGACAGTGGAGGGTGGAGGACCCTGATGTGCTGCACTCCATGAGGTCACAATGAGTTGGAAACAACTTAGCGACTGAACAACAACAAATCTTTTGCATTCCAATAATTTTCTCTTGGATAGCAGGCTATATGAAGTCTCACCACTTTGTTGGTCATAGCCACCAATTTAGTGGGTCCCCCTAAATAAAATGACGACCACTGACTTGGGCTAAGATACTTATCCCTCTGGTTTGCTATCAATGCCACACTAACTGGCTGTTGCTGCTGCTGCTAAGTCACTTCAGTCGTGTCCGACTCTGTGCGACCCCATAGACGGCAGCCCACCAGGTTCCCCCATTCCTGGGATTCTCCAGACAAGAACACTGGAGTGGGTTGCCATTTCCTTCTCCAATGCATGAAAGTGAAAAGTGAAAGTGAAGTTGTTCAGTTGTGTCCGACTCTTCACGACCCCATGGACTGCAGCCTACAAGGCTCCTCCATCCATGGGATTTTCCAGGCAAGAGTACTGGAGTGGGGTGCCATTGCCTTCATCAAACTGGCTGTTACTCAACTCTAATTTATCTTTGATAGATATCACACTTCTCTCCATGTAAGACATTTATCCTCTGACCCCAAGTCTACATTATCATTAAAGTTAAGGAAGGTCTCTTCCTCATTAGAAAAATCAACACTTAAGCTCCTAAGTGGTGAGGATGTGTTTTCTCAGTCAGGACATTTTCTACTTTTTTCTGGGTTGGAGGAAAATACATGAGTTGCAATACTTAATGTGGACATAAAACTGAAAAGCCCAACTGACAAGTTAGCAGTATGTAATAACTGATTTCAAACAACATTTACTTTGAATGAGTTCCTCCCTCCCAAGGCACCCACTCCTTCTCATGTTTGCTATGTTTTTAGTTGTCTCCATTGTTAAGAAGCTTCTCAAGTTATGGATCCTAGGGCTGTCAGTTACAAAATTATCACCATTTTCCGGTTACAAATTAGCTCATCTTGTAAATACAGCACCTAATTACCAGTTTTTAGTTGTACTTTTGCATAGTCTTATCGCTCTCATTTTATTCAGATAGGTAGAAGTATTGAATTTTAAAAGATCTGATTATGGTTACAAAGATAAAGACACACAAAATATTTGCTTTTGCATATGGTCCTCATAAATAGCTTGCAGCCAGGATATAATTAAACAAC